CAGAGATCACAGGCCACTTGAGTGGAAGGAATCAAACACCATTTAGCGTTCGAATGCCCTCAAAGCAAAGACATAGACAACGTTCAAACGTCCTTAAAGAAAAGACAGACTCAACGTTTGAATGCCAGATCACGTTCAAACGTCCCCCGCTGATTGGCTACAAAGTTGTTGGCTTTTTACTTGGACTTGGGCGGCAAATAGTATTCCTTCACCCCCCCTTTGCCCTTCCTTGCCTATAAATACTCCCATGTTGAGAGCTTAAAGGGGCATTCTTCCTCTTGTAGAGTAAAAAGGGGAGCAATCCTNGCAAATAGTATTCCTTCACCCCCCCTTTGCCCTTCCTTGCCTATAAATACTCCCATGTTGAGAGCTTAAAGGGGCATTCTTCCTCTTGTAGAGTAAAAAGGGGAGCAATCCTTTTTTGTAGAAAGTAGAGAGCTTTTCTTCTTAGCAATTTTTCTCTTGTAAATTAGAAAGCTAGTTTATATACATTGCTTTTTTGTATTTATATCAACCATGATGGAGGGTTAGACTCCCCTTATAGTTGAAGTCTTTTATTTACTTATGCTAAGTCTTTACATTCATGTTGTGACAACCATGATGGAGGCTTAGACACCCCTTGTAGTTGTACTTGCTTTTATTTAGAAAGAATCAAGAGAGATAGTTCATCTTTTGGTTGTGGTGGAAACCCTCCAAAAGTAACTAGCTTTCTTCTACTTTTATTGTTCATGTATTTCACTTCCATTGCTTGAGCATCCTTCCTTCTTAAAAGAGTGAAACTCTTCTATTTTTCTAGAGTTTTACCAAAGCCGTGAAGGGTGAAAAGTGAGTCACTTATTCTTCATTGAAGATAAGCTCTTTGTTTAGTTTGCTTCACTTAGTAACTCCTCCACTTAGAGGGATGAGTAGCATTCACTTTTCTAGCTTTGCCAAGGCCATGAAAAGTGAGTAGTTCCTCATTCACTCTTTAGTAAGAGGTGATGAATATGTAAAGATTATCCAGAAGCTATGTTTGTGCAACTCCTTCATGCTTTAATGCTTTATATTCCACCTGTTCATTGGATGATTGAATGCATCTAGCAAAGTTGAGGTACTTTGTATAACCAAGGGCTTCCTCTATGATACGGATGACTTCTGCATAGAAAGACCTATTGCTTGACAAAATTTTTTGTTGTTTCCTAACCTCTAAACATCACCTTTTAGTATGTATAGTATATGGATGAAGGGGAGTGTCACTCTCCTTGGGATGATGTCAAAAGAAAGGGCAAAGAAATGGTGGATGAATGAAATGTCAAATGTTTGTGGGTGAACAAAAATGCTCCCCAAGCCCAAGGAGACTTCCACAAATTATGTTTTACTTGGTGGTATTCCAAGGTCGTTTCCATGGAGAAGGAAGTAAACCGAGGGGAAGGTGATTTTGGGAGAAAGAAAGTGTAAAATCTTTGATTGTTGGAAATTTTTTTGATGCTAGTAAAATGAGAAATAAATGTTGGCAAATCCAAGAGGTCACTCCAATAGGAATATCTTCTCAACTCGAAACCCTCATCCAATAGATGCATGAATCAATGATTGATTCGTAGGAAGCTAGGGATAACATTGGTGAGTATCTGAGCATAAACCGTGACTAGGCCCACAGAATATCAAAGACTCACCAAGTTATCCACCCTTAACCCAGTCAAACCGAACCATTGAACTCTGAAAGAAGGGAGGAGAATGAGTTGAAAATGGTATACCCAAGTGGAGGTTCCCCTTGGTTTTGCCAACTAAGAGATTTAGCTATTCATGCTTAAAATAACGACAACAATATGATGAGAAGACATTATGAAGAAATAAAGACTAGAATTAAGCATAAACGAAATGCATAAATATAACTTCCGGATAATCACCTCTTACTAAAGATTGGATGAAAAACTATTCACTCTTCATGGCTTTGTTAAAGATAGAAAAGTGAGTGATACTCATCCCTCCAAGTAGAGGAGTTACAAGGTAAAACACTTTACACAAGGAGCCGATCTTCGACAAAGAATGAGTGAATCACGTTCCACCCTTCACGGCTTTGGTAAAGCTCTAGAAAAGTGGAAGAGTTTCACTCCTCTAAGGGAAGAAGGAAGCTCAAGCAATGAAAGTAAAAGAAAGCAATAACACAATAAAAGAAAGCAATACTTAAAGTAAAAGAAAGCAATAAATTAAAAGAAAGCAATAATACAATAAAAGAAAGCAATAAGCAATAAGGAAAACAATAATACTTTTGGAGGGTTTTTCACTATCAAAAGATGAATGCTTTACAAGTCCTAAGGGGTGGTATTTATAGGCAACAAGGGAGGGTGAAAGTCTTGTTTGATGACTTTGAATTACATGAAAGTCTTGTTTGGTGACCTTGAATTACATGAAATTCTTGTTTGGTGACCTTGAATTACATGAAAGTCTTGTTTGGTGGCCTTGACTTATTTGATCTCCCTTTGTTTTGAGCTTTGATAATTGGCACCCCAGTAGTTTGTAGCTTTAATGCAATTGGCTCCCCAGTAGTTTGTAGCTTCGACGTACAAAACCCTGAAAAAAATAACAATTAATGCATTATCCTTTATTCACACACTAACCCTAATTTGACTAGTTTAACTTTGTTTAGCTAATACAATTGACCTATTAACTTAATTAAATTATGCATTAATTAGGGTTAATCATACCCCCCAACCTAAACATTACTAGTCCCTAGTAATAAATAACAACAGAACAAAATAAAATCACTTTCGTAGATATCACGATTGCATTTAGTATATGCAACAAGCTGTTAAACCCCTAGGTGATCCCTAGTGGATGAGTTTTGTCTCATGAAAGTTTCTAGTGAAACTACCTACAAACTCTAGTTAAAAAGATGTGTATATGTAAGAATTCTTGTCAGAATGAGGTAGCAGCAGGATCGTTAAGACACACATCCCTTAATTTCGAATTGTTTCTCGAACATTTCTCTGTTATTGATACGTACTCTATACAAAAATAAACACTTGTTACATTGGTATTTGGAATTCCCTATGTAGTAGGAATGATCATTCTAGTAGCAAGAATTTTTATATAACAAACATTCCATTTTACCACCTTCCATGGATAGCTTTGATTTCTCAAACCTCTCTTAGAATGCTCTCAGCAAAAATTCACTTCGATTATAGTGACTTGTCTCTCAAAAGGCATGTGATTAGAGGATGACCAATCAAAAAATCACATGCACAGTTAGAAAGGGAGTGAAAGTCTTAAGAAAGTAGACTAATCATGTTCTTGGCATAATCTCAAGGAAGAATATCAATACAATTAAATAAATACTATTTAACATACCCCAGTTTTCGGTTGACAACACACACATGCATCAGACTTGAGATCAATTAGGGCTTTGTATAGGTTGTAATGAGGCCAGACGTTAGTGGCTAACGAAATGACGTCAATGGTATTCAAAAGCTATCCCCTTTTTAATGTAGTGTAGCACACCTCTTTCTTACTTTTCAATCTTTTGCCTATAAATGGTATTTATTTTTCTCATTTTTCTCATTTTTCACTTTCTTGGCAATATTTGTTTTTTCGGTTGTTTCCACCGATTTTTCATTGAAAAGTAGCCACCATCTTCTTTTCTAGCTTTTCTTGCCTTTCTGTATCATACCGATTTATAAGAGGGTGCAAGAAAATTGGATAGCAATGTATGCTAAGTGTATTCTCTTGTGGCTNAGTAGCCACCATCTTCTTTTCTATTTTTTTCCTTGCCTTTCTGTATCATACCGATTTATAAGAGGGTGCAAGAAAATTGGATAGCAATGTATGCTAAGTGTATTCTCTTGTGGCTCAGTTATCATATGGGTTTTTCGAAAAAAAAAATCATTCATTGAAGGCTCAAACATGGCTAACTAGGGATATAATTTCATAGAAGCAATGACTAAGGCTCAAAATCAACTCAAAGATGACCTAAAATTCTTTCTCAAGTATGTGCCTATGTATGTATTACATGCAAAGGTTCCCTGTGGGATATGTCAATAGATTACTTTAGTTGCATTTAATCAAAGCAAGTTTAATGAGATTATTCAACAATTGAAAGTGAAAGAGCTTACTTGAGTAAATGTTGATTGTCTCTCAGAAAGCATCGTAAGGCTCAAAACTTACCATGGTATTCTTCGTTATCTCCACTGCTTATGTCAGGTTTTCAAAGAATGTCGGTTATATATTAATTCTATTTTCGAGTCTGGTCATTATGTATCTTAAGATTAACAAATACCAATGTACATTTGACATTTAAGCATAGAGAAAATACCATTTTTCAAGGAAATGCGATTTTTTTTTCACTCGAATAAAAATCAAAGTTATTTACATACACATTTATCTATGAAAATTGAAAGAAGACTAAATGAACACATTGAACTTGGAAAACTATGGTGTCTTAGGATAAGTCCCTACCTACGCTACAAGTTGGCATTTTAGGACAATCCTTATTCGGCCCACATCTTTATTTTAACAAAAAGACTTAGTGCATAAACAAATATTTACACAACAAAAATTTGGACCATTAACCTTCATCCCCAAAACACATTTTTTCACAGCTTTGTCATTATTAGTCAAAATTTAANTTCGGACCATTAACCTTCATCCCCAAAACACATTTTTTCACAGCTTTGTCATTATTAGTCAAAATTTAATCTGAGTCATCGCTTGTGTCTATGTCATTATTAGTGACCCTTCCCACTTCTTGTGGCACATAACATGTAAGTCCCAGATTGGTATAAGATGGCGTGTCAGGAAAATCCTTACTCTGTCCATACACTATCCAGTTTAATCGATCGATTGCACGACTCGAAATTGGTTCAGAACACTGNCCTAAAGTTTCGTCATTTAGTATTAAAGCACCCAGTAAATAAACAAACCAAAAAAATAGAGATAAATGGACATGCTATAGAGGTGATTGCATCATTTGAAAATATGGTTCTGACTGGTATGGCTACGAAAGTTTGTAAACCACTGACGACTAGGGACATGAGATGAGAAAAGAAGGTGGAATGAGTACTGTGGCTAGTGTCGATTCAGATGGGTTGTTGAAATTCCTTGGTAGTGATCTCCATCGGTGGTCGTTGAATTCAATTTCAGACAATGTTCCAAGGACGATGATTGTCCAGGCGATAAAGGAAAAGAGATGGGAGGAAGGTCACACTTAGGGCTTTTATGGAGAGAGAGAAAAGTAAACTAGGGTTATATTTTCTTTTTTTTTTAAAGAGTTCAAATTAGTTGGCTTAAGTTGCTGATACACCTCATCCGCCCCACCAGCAGGTCAGATTTTTAGATCAAATAATCAGATCTCAATAGCATTAGTCTTACTCTAAATGTTAACTTTAGTCTAGAAGTTGAATAGTTAGTAGCTCTTTCAAGAGAGGTTACCTTCCCCAACCCTAGGGCTAGCTCACTAAAATAGGGACAACACTTTTTTTTGCTCAGTTCATTACTCTTAACGATGATTACGGTGTTAATGAAGTCTCATATGGCATTTAATCGAATGTANGCTAGCTCACTAAAATAGGGACAACACTTTTTTTTGCTCAGTTCATTACTCTTAATGATGATTACGGTGTTAATGAAGTCTCATATTGCATTTAATCGAATGTAAGTCGCATTTTCCTTTGATTTGCAATGATGATTTTCTTTTTGAGGATCACAGTAACTGCTTGCTTGATAAAATTCCTTTTTATTTCCTAACCTCTAAACATCACCTTTTAGCATGTATAGTATATGGATTAAGGGGAGTGTCACTCTCCTTGGGATGATGTCAAAAGAAAGGG